TGCCTCTCCAGCCTCCCCGAGTAGCTGACTAACAGGCATTGCCACCACTGGTCCAGCTATTTTTTCTTACTATATATATTTTTGTGGGTCAATTAATTTCTTCTTTTTTGGTAGAGACGGGGTCTTGGCTCTTGCTCAGGCTGGTTTCCAACTCTTGACTTGAGCAATCCTGCCCGCCTCAGCCTCCCAGCATGCTAGGATGACAGGCGTGAGCCACCACGCCCGTTTGTTTTTTGAAAATGGTTATTTTTTAATTAAAAAGTTATCTGTGTAAGTGCATGACAGGTCTGTTATTTTTAAAATTTTAATTATGGTAAAATACACATAAAACATGCTTCTTAACCATTTTTATATTTTATTTATTTATTTTGAGACAGAGTCTCACTCTGTTGCCCGGGCTAGAGTGCCGTGGCGTCAGCCTAGCTCACAGCAACCTCAGACTCCTGGGCTCAAGCCATCCTCTGGCCTCAGCCTCCGAGTAGCTTTGGACTACAGGGGCATGCACCACCACGCCGGCTAATTTTTTATATATATTTTTTAGTTGTGTGGCTAATTTCTTTCTATTTTTAGTGGAGACGGGGGTCTCGCTGTTGCTCAGAGCTGTTTCGGCTGGTTTTGAACTCCTGACCTTGAGCAATCCGCCCGCCTCGGCCTCCCAAGAGCTAGGATTACAGGCGTGAGCCACAGCGCCCGGCCAGGTTTGTTATTTTTAAAAATTTAATTATGGTGAAATACACATGCAATAGGCTTCTTAACCATTTTTAAGTGTATGGTTCATTAAGGAATTCAAATTATTATGTGACCGTCACCACCATTCATGTCCAGAATTTTGCTTTGCAAACACTGAAACTTCACGCGTATCAGACAATAGCTCCCACCCCTACCCCCACCCAGACCCTGGCAGCCACCGATCCACTTTCACTGTCTGTGCATTTGGCTACTCCAGGCTCCTCGTAAGAGTGGACTCACACAGTGACTTCCACACGGCCGGCCGTGTGATCGCCGTGGGGACATGGCCCAGGGCAGCTTTGGGTGACTCCAGCCCCCACTGCTGGTGACGGTGACCTCAGGAGAAACCTGAGCAAGAAGTGGCCGCTGGGGGCCGGGTGCGGTGGCTCACGCCTGTCATCCCAGCACTCTGGGAGGCCGAGGCTGGAGGATCGCTCAAGGTCAGGAGTTGGAAACCAGCCTGAGCAAGAGCGAGACCCCGTCTCTACTAAAAATAGAAAGAAATTAATTGGCCAACTAAAAACATATATATATAGAAAACATTAGCTGGGCATGGTGGCACATGCCTGTAGTCCCAGCTACTCGGGAGGCTGAGGCAGCAGGATTGCTTGAGCCCAGGAGTTTGAGGTTGCTGTGAGCGAGGCTGACGCCACGGCACTCTTGCCCGGACGACACGGTGAAACTCTGTCTCAAAAAAAAAAAAAAAAAAGAAAAGTGGCAGCCTGGCCCGTCACCCACAGAGCTAAGGGAGGTGGCCGTGTCTCAGCCGTCCGGTTTGGGCTGGATTGTTCCCAGGGCAGCAGGTGACTGGGGCTGGCTTCCCCCTCAGACTGCTGGGCCCCCAGGCGGTGGGGACGCCGTCCTTGTTCCCCTGCGGATCTCTGGTCCCAGCGGGGGGCCTGGCCGGGCGCCAACGCCCCCCACACTCCCCGCGTGAACAAAGGGAACCACCGCAACTCGCCGTTCACCCTGAGATAGAATAGATTTATTAGCAAGAGGTAATCAGGAAACATATATTTTTACAAAAATGGAAATTTCTTTCTGTCTTTTTTTTTTTTTTTTCCCAAACGAGCTGTACGTCGAAATAGTTTAGGGCTTGGAATAAGAATTCTCATACCACTAGGTATTGCTTACAGCAAGAGTTTCCGTCTGTGCAGTGGAGCATGCCTGCCACGTGGGAGCTAGCCGTGTGTTCTCTACCCTGCACGGTGTAAAAAAATAAGTGGCGGCGTTCACGGAGGAAGCGCTGGGGCGCCCCGTTCCCGCCGGGAGGAGCTCGGACAGACTGCAGTGTGCGCAGCAGGGACACTGGGTGGCTGGTGCCCTAACGCTAGGGTGCGGGGCCGGTTTTCTCACGGGGTGGGCAGACTCAGAGCATCTCCACAGGTAAGCTTGCAGCGGCTGCCCCTCGGCTCCCAGAGGGAACGAGCCGTCTCTGTGTCCCAGACTTCCAGCGAGCGCCGGGCCTCGGGTGGACCTCAGCGAGGCGCGGTGCTCCGGCGACTCGGTTGTCCCCGGGAAAGTCCTGGGGCCTGGTCCGGTGGCGGCGTCAGCGTGAGAGTGCTGGTCATGCTGCCTGGGGTTAGTCCTAGAGCAGGGAGCGGGGGGCCGCCTGGGCCGGGACCCACCTGGGCGGGGAGGACTCCCTTCCATCCGGGTGGCCGGAGACAGACGGGGAGTTCCGAGGCCGGCACAATTTTGGCTGAAAAAGCTGCTTTGGAGACTGGAGTCACCGTCCGAGGGAAGACCGGCCAGTGACCGGACGTCGGGGCTCGGTGCCGTCCCCCCTCCCACCCCCCACCCAGGTGCAGCGGCGACGTGGAGCATGCTGGGAGGACGACGCCTGGGCGGCCAACTGGACCCAGGGCCCGGGCGGGGCAGGACGGCGGGCGGAAGCAGGTGGGCACCCAGGTCCCGGGCGGTGCAGGGCCCGGCCCCGGCCGCCTCCCGGGAGGCGGGAGCCAGCGGTTTCGGGGAGGGCGGGCGAAGGCGCGGCTGTCTGTCGGAATGGACGGAGGAGCCGGGCGTCGAGGGAGACGGCGGGCCGGGTGGGCGGGCGGGCAGGGCCTCGGGTGTGCAGAGACCACGTTCCCGTTCTACGGGAGTCTGGGGGGGAGAACGGAGGTGTGTTCTTGGAGAAGCAGGTACGGAAGGAGAAGACCCGGAGGGACCAAACGAGTATGTACAGCGTCACGCGTGGCGCCCAGGGGGCCGGCCCGGCCTCAGGTGGGGAGTTTTGGTTCGATGCGGAGCGAAGACTCGTAGAGGCTCTCTTCGTCCATCACGAAGGACTGGTCCAGCAGGTACTGGGTCACCTGGGGAAAGGAAAGAGGAGAAGGGAAGGGGGCGTGACGGGCCTCCTAGCACGGGGACCGAGGACACCGCAGCCTCCTGGGGCCTCCCGGGTGCTCTCCCGCGTCCTGATGTGATTTGTGTTGGGACTATTGCGTAGTGTCGTCTCAGCGCCGAATCGCACGGGGTCAGGGTTGCCGCTCGCCGGCTGCTGTCCCCTTGGCTGTGTATTTGATGGAGTATTTGTAGCTGGCATTAGAAACATCGGAGATGTTGGCCGGGCGCGGCGGCTCACGCCTCTGTCATTCCCAGCACTCTGGGGAGGCCGAGGCGGGAGGATCGTTTGAGCTCAGGAGTTCGAGGCCAGCCTGAGCAAGAGCGATTGCCCCCCGTCTCTACTAAAAAAGATAGAAAGAAATCAGCTGGACAACTTAAAATATGTAGAAAAAATGAGCCGGGCATGGTGGCGCACGCCTGTAGTCCCAGCTACTTGGGAGGCCGAGGCAGGAGGATCGCTTGAGCCCAGGAGTCTGAGGTTGCTGTGAGCGAGGCTGACGCAACGGCACTCACTCTAGCCCGGGCAACAGAGTGAGACTCTGTCTCAAAAAAAAAAAAAGAAAAGAAAAATCTGAAATGTCAATTGGGGAAACCGATGACAGGTGGTGGGAGTTCTGTATTCTTCCAGTGTCTCTGTGTGCTCGCAACGTCTGACAATAAGATGTCGGGGCAAAATGCATGTGGGCATTAGGGTTATTAATACACAGTGCTTCGAGGTATTCGCCCCAAGAGAAGCAAGTGGACGCTTAGGCCACGTGAGGGACGGGTCTCCCTTTTTGGGGCTTGACCTGGCTCACCCCGAGTTGTGACAATTGGGAAGACCCACTCACGTGAATTAGATTATTCCGTTGTGCCCTCCCCCCCGCGTGACTCCTGTCCCCAAGAACTCTACTGGATCCTGTGCATTGAACGTGCGATGCAGACACTACCGGCAGCCTCAGCTCCAACGGCCGTCTTTCCGAGGCTCGTTTATTTGCCAGTTGTTCAGAATGGAAGGTGCATTTCCCCCCACAGAAACCCAGAGCAGAAAGAAAAAAAAAATGCTTTTTTTTTTTTTGAGACAGAATCTCACTCTGTTGCTTGGGCTAGAGTGAGTGCCGTGGCGTCAGCCTCGCTCACAGCAACCTCAGACTCCTGGGCTCAAGCGATCCTCCTGCCTCAGCCTCCCGAGTAGCTGGGACTACAGGCATGCGCCACCACACCCGGCTAATTTTTTCTATATATATTAGTTGGCCAATTAATTTCTTTCTATTTATAGTAGAGATGGGGCCTCACTCTTGCTCAGGCTGGTTTCGGACTCCTGACCTCGAGCAATCCGCCTGCCTCGGCCTCCCAAAGTGCTAGGATTACAGGCGTGAGCCACTGCGCCCGGCCTCTCTCTCTCTTTTTAAAAATCATATTTTCGTTTCTTTTAATTTTTATTTATTTATTAAAAAAATTTTTTTTTGTAGAGACAGGGGTCTCACTGTTTTGCCCAGGCTGGTCTTGAACTCCTGGCCTCAAGCAATCCTCTCACCTGGGCCTCCTAAAGTGCTGGGATTACAGGTGTGAGCCATAACACCTGACCCTCTTTTAATTTTTAAATTAATTCATATCTTATTCTAGAGCAACATTTGCATGCAATTTATTTATTGTTTGAGACAGAGTCTCACTCTGTTATCCAGGCTAGAGTGCTGTGGCGTCAGCCCATCTCACACCAACCTCAAACTCCTGGGCTCAAGCGATCCTCCTGCCTCAGCCTCCCAAGTAGCTGGGACTACAGGCATGTGCCACCATGCCGGGCTAATATATTAGTTGGTCAATTAATTTCTTTCTATTTATAGTAGAGATGGGGTCTCGCTCTTGCTCAGGCTAGTCTCTTACTCCTGACCTCGAGCGATCCTCCTGCCTCGGCCTCCCGAGCAGCTGAGACTACAGGTGGGAGCCCGTGTCTGGCTCACTGAGGCTGTTTGAAGAGCTCACGCAGTGGCGTGTTGGAACTGGCTGGTGACAGCAGGGGCGTTAAGTTGGCAGCTTGAACCCAGCCCTGCAGGCAGCACTGACGCCATGGAAACCAGCAGTGACAAGGACTTCCTCCTGGAGCCCTAGTCAGGCTTCTCCGAGCCCTCCTCTTCCCCCGCTCCTTGGCCTGCCTTGAGCAAGAATCCCGCTAAGCTACCTTAGCAAGAATCCTCCCTCTCCCCCTTTTTTAAGAATTGAGAGAGTCTCACTCTGTTGCCCAGGCTAGAGTGAGTGCCGTGGTGTCAGCCTCGCTCACAGCAACCTCAAACTCCTGGCCTCAAGCGGTCCGCCTGCCTCAGCCTCCCGAGTAGCTGGGACACCAGGCATGAGGCACCACGCCCGGTTAGTTTCTTTATTTTTTGTGGAGTTGGGGGTCTTGCTGTGTTGCTTGGGCTGGTCTTGAACTCCTGGCCTCAAGGGATCCTCCTGCCTCAGCCTCCCAAAGTGCTGGGATTACAGGCATGAGCCACTGTGCCTTCCCCACCTCCTGATGTCTGATCAAATTCCTCATTCCCCACCCTGGATATCTAAGTCCTGCCTTTAGCAAATATCCTGTTGGGCCAGTTTAGCAAGACTCCCCTGCCCTCCATACCTCCTCTGAGTAATTTCCACCCACTGACCTCCCACTCTGCTGTTAGCTACCAACCCCACTTGTCCTTTATTGTAGTCAGGGCTGAGTTTAATCTCTCTCCCCCATGTGTTTCTTTGCTTTTCTTTTCCTTTTTTTTTTTTTTAGAGATAGGGTCTCACTCTGTCACCCAGGCTGGAGTGCAGTGGCACAATCACAGCTCTCGGCAGCCTCCAACTCCTGGGCTCAAGCATCCTCCTGCCTCGGCTTCCCGAGTAGCTGGGACACCAGGCGCCATTACTGGCACCCGGCTCTGTTGCAACAGTCTTAAATAAAGCCTCCAACCCGCCAGCCTCCCGCCCCGTCCCTCTGCCCCCCAGACCCTCCTCTGCCTCCCACCTCTGTCCCCAGCGGGGTCCCCGGGCTCTGCCCAGTCCCTTCCCCGTCCCCTTTCCTCTCTCTCCACTGAAATTTCCCACCCAGACCCCCGCCCTGCCCCACCTCTGTTCCCAGGGGGTCCCCGAGCTTTGCCCAGTCCCTTACCTGTCCCCTTTCCCCTCTCTCCACTGAGACTCCCAACCCAGAGCCCCTGCTCTGCCCCGCCGACCTCCTCCCAGGGCCCCAACCCGCCAGCCTCCTATAGTCCTGGTCCTCCTTATCCTTTTTAACGAGCGTGGGATAGTCTCCTCTGCACATCAGGACTCAAGCGCCCTCCTCTCCGGACCAGCGCAACAGTTGCTCACACACCACCAAGTTACAGGCCGGGCCTCCAGTGGAGTGTCCCGGATTTTGGATTTCTCTGTGGGTTCCTCCTGATTAGATGAGGGTTGAACTTTCTGGCAGGTGCAGGTATGTCCCAGGTATGTCCCAGGTATGTCCCAGGTATGTCCCAGGCATGTCCCAGGGCTCCCCGGCCCGGTCCTCAGCCTCCACCTCCCTGCGTTAGTTCTTCCAGGGCTGTAAGCATCAGGTTGTTCTCTGCCTCTGCGTCCGCCTCCCTCCCGACCGCAGGCTCCGGAGGGCCAGGAGCTCGCCGCTTCTTCCCTGCTCTGCCCAGGGCCACCCAGGCCCCGCACACGGGACTCGCCCGGTGAATGCGTGTGAGTGAGAGGGCGAGTGAAAGGTGGCCCGTCAGTCAACCGCTGACTCTTCTCCAACCTGGCTCTTGGCTATGAAGCAGGTCAGCAGTTCACAGCAGAACACAATTTTTTTTTTTTTTGAGACAGAGTTTCGCTTTGTTGCCAGGCTAGTGGTGAGTGTCCGGGCGTTCACCTAGCTCACAGGCACTCAGACTCTGGGTCGAGCGATCCTCCTGCTCAGCCTCCCAAGTAGCTTGGGATACAGAAATGCGCCATCCAGCGGCTGAATTTTTTTCTAATGTATTTTTAGTTGACCATTAATTTCTTTCTATTTTTAAAGAGAGGGTCTCAGCTCTTGCTCAGGCTGTTCCTCAAAACTCCTGAGCTCAAAAGATCCTCCGGCCACGCCTGCCAAGTGCCAGGGAATACAGGCGTTGAGCGGCCCGGGCAGAAACAAGTGCTTATAAATCTCTGCGAAGGAGTAGAGGAGAAACGCTAAGAGCGTGGTCTGCCGAGCCCGGGGTGCGTCTGGAGCTGGGGTCCCTGTGAGTTGCAAGCAGGAGGCCCGGACGCCGCCCGGAGAGCAAACCGTTCACGGGGCGGGGAAGGAAAAGCCTCGGCAGTTGGAGCTCATGAATCTGCATCAGCAAACCTCAGCTACTTTATCCTGGGAAATGGGGCCACTAGCAGCACTTTTTTTTTTTTTTTTTTTTTTTTTGAGACAGAGTCTCAGCTCTGTTGCCCAGGCTAGGAGTGAGTGCCGTGGCGTCAGCCTCGCTCACAGCAACCCTCAACTCCTGGGCTCAGGCGATCCTCCTGCCTCAGCCTCCCGAGTAGCTGGGAACACAGGCATGTGCCACCATCCATGCCCAGCTAGTTTTTTGTATATATATATATCTTTTAGTTGGCCAATTAACTTCTTTCTATTTATAGTAGACACGGGGTCTCGATCTTGTTCGGGCTGTTTTCTAACTCCTGACCTTGAGCGATCCTCCTGCCTCGGCCTCCCAGAGTGCTCAGGATGACAGGCGTGTTTGAATAAAGAAATAAGACCGGCCAGGCGCGGTGGCTCACGCCTGTCATCCCAGCACTCTGGGAGGCCGAGGAGGGCGGATTGCTTGATCGAGGTCAGGAGTTTGAAACCAGCCTGAGCAAGAGCGAGACCCCGTCTCTACTATAAATAGAAAGAAATTAATTGGCCAACTAATATATATATAGAAAAAATTAGCCGGGCATGGTGGCGCATGCCTGTAGTCCCAGCTACTCGGGAGGCTGAGGCAGGAGGATCACTTGAGCCCAGGAGTTTGAGGTTGCTGAGAGCGAGGCTGACGCCACGGCACTCACTCTAGCCTGGGCAACAGAGTGAGACTCTGTCTCAAAAAAAAAAAAAAAAAAAAAAGAAAGACTAACCCGCCGGCCATGCCCTACACGGCCGTTTGCTCGTTCAAACGTGCAAACCGCAGTCCAAGTCTGTGGCCTCCTTGGGGGCGTCCCACCCTCTCAAGGACGAGGTCCCAGACCCCCTCAGGTGTCCCCTAGTCCCATCTGGTTCAGGGGGGTCTGATGCAGCCGTGGGGCTCCCCACGCCTCAGCCCCACACAGGCCCGTCCCCCCAGGACAGGGTGCCCCCCAACCAGGAAACTCCCGGGGTCTCCCATAAGGCCCCCAGCCCCTCTGACCCGCCCTCCCCCCGCACCCCACCTGTCTATGGGGGTCCCAGGTGCTTTTTCTGGCCTCTGCAGCAAAAGGCGGAAAAACCCTGTCCGGCCGTCAGAGGGGAGGGCGGCACCTGGGTCTCTGCAGCTGTGGGGAGGGGTGAGAAGACTTCCGCCCTAGCCGGGCACGATGCCTAACGTACATTACTGAGGGAGAAACCAGGGACACCGGGCAGTGCGCAGGATGCCACACCGCACCGTGTTTCCCCGAAAGTAAGCCCTACCCATAAAACAAGCCCCAGCAGGATGTCTGAGCATGTGCGCCAGAGAAGCCCCACCCCGAAAATCAGCCCTGGTGACGGGCGTGGCTGTGCAGCGTCTGCACAACCCGTGCGTGTCCTCGCGGAGCGGGACAGAACACGAGCAGCCCTTCCCATCTGCCCCGTGAGAGCTCTGTGGCTCCACAGGAGAGATCGGGGCTGGTGGTTCTAAGGGAAACAGAGTCACAAGACATTCAGGACGGGATTCGGGGTCTGGAGAGTGAGGATGATGTCCCAGAAGACGACGACTTCACTCTATTTGAATCAATGTAGATGGTTGTGCCGCACTTAAAAAAAAAACAACAAAACCACATCCCCTGAAAATAAGCCCCAGGGTGTCTTCTAGAGGAAAAATAAATATAAGACCCTGTCTTGTTTTCGGGGAAACGCGGTGGTATGAAAAGTTTGCTCGTGCTCACGGCCGGCTGTGGACACCAACGAGAGAAACTGGTGACACTGTTGGCTTTGGCAGGGACCCGGGTGGCTGGGGCCGTGTCACTGTGTGCACCTTCGTATCTGTGAATTTTGTGGCTTGTGAGCATGGTGCCTTTTTTAAAGAAAAAGATGTCATAACCCCTGCCTCTCTGGCCGTGGGGATGATCAGACATGATTACAAACCACCCTGTGGCAGGTAAGGTCACACAAGAGTCGCAAGATAAACGAAGACAAGATGGCTGGGCGCGGTGGCTCACGCCTGTAATCCCAGCACTCCGGGAGGCCGAGGTGGGAGGATCGCTCGAGGTCAGGAGTTCGAAACCAGCCTGAGCAAGAGCGAGACCCCCGTCTCTAATAAAATAGAAAGAAATTAATTGGCCAACTAATATATATATAGAAAAAATTAGCCGGGCATGGTGGTGCATGCCTGTAGTCCCAGCTACTCGGGAGGCTGAGGTAGAAGGATCGCTTGAGCCCAGGAGTTTGAGGTTGCTGTGAGCTAGGCTGGCGCCCCCCCGGCACTCACTCTAGCCTGGGCAACAAAGCGAGACTCTGACTCAAAACAAAGAAACAAACAAACAAACACGCAGAAAAGAATCTCGAGACAACTCGTTTCTGACCGGGGGGTAAGGGACAGGGCAGCCTTGCTGGAAGGGACAGTGTGGGAGGGGCCGGGGGCCGGACGGTGGCCGCCCGGAGCTGGGAACCCGCCGGCTCACCTTGGCCTGGTGCTCTATCTTGTAGGCCGTCTGCTGGAACTGCCGGATCTCGCGGATGATGTGGGATATCTGTGGGGAGACGGGGTGTCAGGTAGCGGACAGTTTGCCCCCTTGCCGCCCCCTCCCTCCACCCTGCAGAGCGGAAGGGGCCTCAGCAGCTACGTGTGAGCCCCGCCTCTCAGTCCCACGCACCCACGGTGCCTTCCGGAAGGTGCCACTGAGCCACTGCGGTTTCTCTAAGCCAGTGGTCTGCTATCGAGATGTGCCAGGATCCCGTAGACCAGGCGTCCTGAACTGCGGCCCGAGGGCCACATGCGGGTGCCTCTGCACGCTTGTTTTGTCACTTCAAAGTGAGATATGTGCAGTGTTCGTAGGAATTTGTTCATAGTTTTTTTTTTTTTTTTTTTAACTATATCCGGCCCTCCAACAGTCTGAGGGACAGTGAACTGGCCCCCTGTTTAAAAAGTTTGAGGGACCGCGGCGAGTGACTCACGACCTGTACATCCGGCCACTCTGAGTGAGGCCGAGGGTGGATCGCTCGGAGGTCAGGAGTCGAACCAGCCTGAGCAAGAGCGGACCTGTCCTCTCTAATAGAAAGAGAATTATCGTGGAGCAACTGAAAAGATGATATGGAAAGAATTAGCCGGGCATTGTGGCGACAGTGCTGGTAGTCCAGCACGTGTGGGAGCGCTGCAGTAGGAGGATCGCTTGAGAGCCCAGAAGTTTGAGGTTGCTGTGACGTTAGGTGACGCCACGGCACTTCACTCGTAGCCTGGGCAACAGACAAGACTCTTGTCTCAAAAAAAAAAAAAAAAAAGTATATATATATATATACCACACAAACAAAAAACAATCTATCCCCCATCTAATGTAAAGATGAAAGATGAAATATGAAAAAAAAAGGAATAAAAATTTGAAGCCGGCCCCAGGTCGGCACATTCGCCGCTTGTTATGTATCCCACTACGCTACTGCCGGATGGCTTTGAGGCAGCGAGATTGCCTGAGCCAGAGTTTGAGGTTGCTGTGAGCGAGGCTGATTGCCACGCACTCACGTCTGCCTGGGCAACAAAGCGAGACTCTGTCTCAAAAAAAAAAAAAAAAAGGGTGTGAATAAAACCACAGGCTTTGGACTCAGCAGATGAGGGCTTCAGTCCTGGTCCCGCCCTTTCCTCGCGGGGCGGCCGTGGTCAGTCACTGGGCCTCACCCAGCCTCAGCCTGCCGGCCCGTAAGGTGGGAACGGTGACAGCTCCCGCCTGCAGACTGTCAAGTGCAGGCAACGTGGGGCTCAGGGCTCCGGCCCCCAAACGGGGCGCCCCGTGCTCCGGGCTGGCCTGTCGAGGAGAGCGAGGGGAGCCCCAACCCCCCCCAACCCCGACCCCGGGCAGAGTCTGGGTTTGACACCCCCCACCCCACCCCGCCCCCGGGGGGGGAACGCACCATCCTCATCTTGGAGAAGTTGACCAGGCCGTCCTCCGTGTAGTTGGGCGTGCCCTCCTCGATGAAGGCCAGGTCGGTGAGGTACATGCCCAGGTAGGGGACACAGGGCGGGTCACAACTTGCAAGCAGAGGGCGGGGACACAAGGCTTTCACTGGAGGAAGGGACTCGCGTCCAGCACAGAGCGTGCTGCCCCTTCCGCCCCGAGAGAGGCAGAGCGACGCCGCCGCTCACCAAGGCCGCGGTGCCCAAGGTCTCGCGGGCCGCGGTCCCGGGGTCCCAGGGGCGGTGGGGGCTCTGGACTGGTTCTTCCTCCCCGCTCTGCCTCCCGCCTCTGTCCCCAGCGGGGGTCTTCCCAGCCCCTTCCTGTCCCCTTTCCCCTCTCTCCACTGAGACTCCCCGCCCTGCCCCGCCGACCTCCTCCCAGGGCCTCCAACCCGCCAGCCTCCCGCCATGGTCCCTCTGCACCCCCAGACCCTCCTCTGTCCCCCTCGGGGGTCTTCCCAGCCCCTTCCCTGTCCCCTTTCCCCTCTCTCCACTGAGACTCCCAACCCTGCCCCCCGCCCTGCCCCGCCGACCTCCTCCCAGGGCCCCAACCCGCCAGCTTCCCGCCCTGGTCCCTCTGCACCCCAGACCCTCCTCTGCCTTCTGCCTCTGTCCCCAGCGGGGTCCCCGAGCTCTGCCCAGCCCCTACGCCATCCCCTTTCCCCTCTCTCCACCGAAACTTCCCACGCAGACCGCCCCCCCCCCCGCCTTAGGGTGTTTGCATCCGCTGTTCCAAGTGCCTGGAACTCCCTCTCCCGCCCCCCAACAGCTCCGCCCCCCCCCCCGACCTCCTCCAAGGCCTCCAACCCACCAGCCTCCCACCCCGGTCCCTCTGAGCCCCACGACCCTCCTTTGCCTCCTGCGTCTGTTCCCAGTGGGGTCCTCGGGCTCTGCTCAGCCCCTTCCCTGTCACCTTTCCTCTCTCTCCACTGAAATTTCCCACCCAGACCAACCCCCCCCCCCGCCTGCCCCACCTCTGTTCCCAGGGGGTCCCCGAGCTCTGCCCAGCCCCTTCCCCGTCCTCTTTCCCCTCTCTCCACTGAGACTCCCAACCCTGACCCCGGCCCTGCCCCGCCGACCTCCTCCCAGGGCCCCAACCCGCCAGCCTCCCGCCCTGGTCCCTCTGTGCCCCAGACCCTCCTCTGCCTCACGGTGTCTCCTCCCGCCCGGGTGGGGCTTGGGTGCCAGGTGGGAAACTAAGCCCCTGAGACCGGTCACCTTCCTGGAAGCGGCTTCTGGGCAGGGGGTGGGGTGGGGAGGGGGCTGGGGACAATCTCCACAGTCGGTGACTCTCGAGGGTGGGGGGACTGCATTTTTGGGCGATGGGCCCCGGGGGTGACGGCCACCCCTCTCTGATGGGTGTCCCCGGTCCTGCTCCTCCCTGGCAGGGTGGGTGCCGGGCGAGGGCCGGGGGTCTGCGTGGAGCCCACGGCCACTGCTCCCTGGCCGGGCTCCTTCCAGCTCCCTGGGGACTCCTCACGGGCCGCCCTGCAGCCTGCTCCTCTCAGCTCAGCACACACAAGCAGGTCGGGGAGCAGAGGCAGGCGACCCTCTGGCCCCTCTGCGGTGGGGGCGGGGAGGGGGAGAGAGCAAGCGCAGGAACCCGCCCGTCCTTCCCCGGCCTGCTGTGTGACCCCGGGCCAGCCCTTTCCCTCTCTGGTCCTCAGACTCCCATGCACAGCAGCCCTGATTTTCGGGAGGCATAGACACGGCGTCGAGCAAGGAGGACTGGTACGGTGAGAAACCCTCTGCTGTTGCTGTTTTCCCCTGCCGCCCAGGGACAGGCGGTCGCGGGGTGCGGGTGCGGGTCTGAGGCTTTGCCACCCTCCTCCTTCACGTTTCTCGTTTTGAACAACCAGTGGCAGGTCTTGGCTCGAGTGCTGGCGAACACCAGCCCGGCCAGAACGGGGCACCCCTGGCGGCCCCCCCACCGCGCCTGTTCTCGGGGCCACCCCGAGTTTGTGGGGAGCAGGCTCGTCTCCCAGGACGTAAACGTTTCCTTCTTGTTGGAACGTATTTTAGGGGAAAAGCGAGTTAATTTAAAGGAGGCTACCGGGTGATCACAGGTACGGCCAGGTGATCACAGGTATGGCTGGCACGCGCGTGTGACAATGCCACGAGGGAGGTGGCACCTGGTGTCAGGGGCACAGTGGACGGAGGGTTTCCCAACCCAAGGTCCCGACCCTTCCGTGGGTGTGGAAACCAGTTTAGGATTTAAAAAAGGTGAAACGGCCAATATCAGTTCACTTCGTGGAATAAAGGCAATGTTGTTCTGTGGATTTTGTTCCTGCTATGCTTGGATGCTTTTCTAAATCTTTTTAATTTTTTTGAGACAGAGTCTCACTCTTGATACATGCTAACTACGCCTGGCTACCGTTCCGATAAGTACTGAAGTGAGCTATACTTCTTCACGAGGTGGAAGTAGCCCTGGTGTCAGGGGCACAATGTGAGATCGGATGGTGTTTCACTCTATACCCAACTGTCCTTGGATCTAAGTCCGTGTGTTTGATCAGGAAACTCAGTTATAGTGATTTAAAAGCTTGTGAATACTGGCCATATATCAATTGTTTGCTGGTTCCGTGTGGATAGAGGGTGTCAATGTTTTCTGGTTTTTTAGTTCCTGGTGCTATAGACTCTCGCGGATGCTTTCTCTATGATTGTTTATTCATTGTTTTGAGACACGAGTCTCACTCTTGTATCGCCCCAGCGCTAGAAGTGACCGTGTCGTGGCGCTCAGCCTATAGTCTCAGCCAGCAAACCTCAGAACTCCTGGGCTGCAGTCGGTCATCGGTATCTTAATAGCGACTCCTTCCTGCCTCAGTCTCCCGAGTACAAGCACTGGGACTACAGGAATGCGCCGACGATGCCGGCCCCTAATTTTTCTTTTGCTATGTATTTTGTAGTCTCGCCCGCAGTTAATCTCTCTCTTCTGTTTTCTTCAAGTGGAGACGGGCCCTCGCCTCTTGCTCTAGGCCTGCGTTTTGAACTCCTGACCTCGAGCGATCCTCCCCGCCTCGGACCTCCCCAGAGTGCTAGATTTAACAGGCGTCAGCACCAGCTCGCCGCTGAGATTTGTTCTTACGACACTTGTTTTTCTGGTCCGGGCGGGCTCGCGCGCGCCGGCCGACGCTCGCTGGCCGCTCGTCGTGGCACACGGCCGCGCCCCCGCCTGACACGGAGCGCCGGCGGCGCGTGGCCCTGGGTCCACAGGTGGGCCAGCCCCTCACCCACGGGTCCCAGGGCTGGGAGTCCGGGTGGAGGAAGGACTCGGGACGGCACAGATGGGGAGCGCGTGCGCGCTGAGCGTGGGCAGGTGGTCGGTGGAGGTTGTTCAAGGCAATGTAGTTATCATTCAGCGTGTTGTCGAACGTGTGGTGGTGCGTTGTATTGCATGAGTTGGAGGGCCCTGGCGGCTGGTGGCGGCGCGCGGTGGGTGGTGGGCCCGTCGGACGGTGGCGACGCGCAGTCTCGCCGGGTGGGCGCTGCGGCCACGTGGGCGCAGGGGGCTTTGGTGGGGCCGGTGTGGCTGTGGGGCTGGCTGGGGCCAGTGGGCCGGTGGGGCTGGTGGGCGCTTGGTTGGGGCTGGTGGGGCCGGTGGGGTGCGGGGCAGTGGGTGGTGGGGCTGGTGGGGCCGAGTGGGGTCGTGGGGCAGTGGGTGGTGGCGGCAGTGGGTGCTCGGGCGGTGCGCGCGCGCGCGCGCGCTCGTCGCGCTGGCCGCCCTTGCGCTCGCGCGGTGGCTCAGCTGCGGGCGGCCGGCCTCGCTCTGCCCGGCTGGGGCGGTGGCGCAGTGGGGTGCGGTGGGGGCTGGTGGGCTGGTGGGGTGGTGGGGCACCCGTCGGCGGCGC